AAATCACCCATATGTGCAGCTGCAGACAACAAAAGGCCAACTATTCAGCCCCAGTTTGGCATTGCGATTGCTTCAATAAGCAATCACAATCGTAAAATTCCTATCTGCTCTTATGATTGGGAACAAATTCACTGGAATCGGGATTTTTAATCAGAATTTTGTGTCTTGTCTGGCATTGCATTTGGCAATCAAATTTGATGATTGCAATCAAATGCAGATCAATCCCAATACCAAACAGGCTCTAAGTCTTCTATAATTTTCTAAATTGAAGAGGATGTTCCATGGTAATTTAGGGGAGTAATTGACTTCAAGCAAAAGGAAAACAATTGCCTCAATAGACAGAGTAATGGAAAGACTAAGGAGGCGTTTGGTACTTGACAATGCAATGTGATTACAAGCAACGTCATTGCAAGTATGATTGCAAGGAAAAAAATATTACAACGTTTGTATACAAGCAAAATAATGATTAAAATGCAGAAAAACTAACATTGCAACGTTTGGTTTACAAGTACTTTATTGAGAATGTAATATTAATTTTCAATATTACCCCTATTTATTAAAATATTTTTTCTTGTTAATTTTTATATAATATCATTTCTTAGATATATTTTTAATGTCATATATTTTGTTTTCATTTCTTTAATATAATTTTTTATATTATATATTTTATTTTAATTTTTTTACTTATATAAATTTTAATTTCTTATATTTTATTTTATTTTAATTTCTTATTCTTATATTATATATTTTATTTTATTTTTTTTATTTTAATTATAACATTATACAATGTTTTTAACAAAGTAATAAAGTTAAAGGGTAAAAATATCTTTAATAACATTGCAGAGTGCAATGTAATGTGATTGCATTGGTTTTGGACTGCAATTACATTACATCCCTCGACTGTAATGTAATTGTATTGCAATATTGCATTTCAGTGGTCTGTTGCAAAACAAACACTGCAATGTAATTTAATTGAACACATTGCAGGTAATGTGCTTTCACTTCCCTCGTACCAAACGCTACCTAAATGTGGTTTGACAGCAGATGCAAAGAAAATATTGTGAATAGTGCAACTATGTAAGAACAGAACAAGTACTAACCAGACTAATGTGGCCACAGATAAATTAACTAACAATGGTGCAAACACGCATGTAACTCATAGCACAACATGGATCAAATAGACTGAAAGGTAAGCTGATTTACCATAGCACTCCAGCCTTTATCAAGGCATCTTGCAAATCAGAGGAAACAGAAACATGAGCAATAGTCTGGAGGGCAGCATCAACAGCAGCAGGTACAAGCTCAAGTTCAGTGCAGTGCACTATGTCCTCAACAAGTCCAGGAAACTCAAGCATCTCAATCCTGGCAGTCTCAAACTGACTCAGGACAGAAAAGGTTCGCATCACATTTGTAACGATGATAGAAGATGGTTCGTTTGCAGGAGTAGTTGGTTGAACAACACACATGCAACGAGAAAGAAGTGTTGCAAGAAGTTGTATCCCACCATCTCTTACAAGTTCTTCACCATTCAATGAGGAAGATGCACACCTAACATTAAAAAGAAAATAGGTATGAAGCAATGAAATCTCCAAGTCAAATTTAACTAGTAAAACTAAATTTACAAAAGTTTATATTGGCAGGAGGGAGTTTACGTAAGCCAAACAAGCTCGGATGCTGCAACAAGAAGAGGTGCTCTATCTGAGGAAAGAAAATTATTATCTTCCTTGTCAACAGTAATTGCATTGAGTAACATGGGATAACCAGCATATTTAAATGGTTCCAACACATCTCCATATCGTCTGTACAAGATGCATTGTCCTTTCAACAAAAGCAACAGCCTCCAAGGCTGAGGACCCTGCAGACCTTGCATTGTAGCCTATATAAAGAGAAATATGAAGTAAATTGTCTTGCAAATTAAAAGAATACGATGAATTGAGGATACATAGAATAAGTTATTCAAAAACTTCTACTTTCATTAATTTGATACAAGCAAGTTAGTATGCAATGAGCTCAGTAGCAAACATCTACCTGAAGTCGCTCATAAGCCTTTTGTACAGCAAGAAATTTCTCCCTCCCTTCAGGATTTTTATCAGGATGGTATTTCATTGCAAGTTTCCTATATTGTCGCTTAAGCTTTTCTTCATCAATGTTCTCAATTTGTTTGGATATGCTAGAAATCTCTCCAGTCACCTCATGAGAATACTTCTGATCAGCATCATCACTAGATACTTCTTCCAAGGTAATCTCTAATATTTTGCAAGCTTCTTCCTCAGAAAGATCCATTGGTTTTCGCGTCAACTCTTCTCGCCACATTACTAGCAGGGACTGTAGAAACTCTACATGCTCAACAATTGGCCAGTTTGGAAAACGGATCTCATCACATAAATTTCGAAGATAATAACGGTGACACCACATTTCATCTCTGAGCTCCGGATAAGTCACTGGTGGCATAGGAGCATACTCGTATAAAGAATGGCAGTGTTGTGACAATTTCTGGGGGAAATCACCAAGATGCTGCAAAACCTTTGGAAAGGAATAAAAAATGTATCAGTTGCAGGGTTACCAAGTAACATTGCAGCCTTTGTCCTTTATATTTGGCCTCAAAAGATATTATTCTTCTAGCTATAGTTCGGCTAAGTAGTTTCTGATGTGCATTTTTCTGAACACAATTGGGTTCATGCATTCAGAAAAACAATAAGTTGCAAAGGAGAAAAGAGGGAACAACTTATATGCAAAAGAAACAAAAAGTAAAGGAGAAGAAAAGGATCTCTCTCTCTCTCTCTCTCTCTCTCACACACACACACACACGTAAAATTTCTAATTTTCTACTATATAAATTAGTTAATCTATTTTTCTTTAAAACCCTAGTTGTCTGTTTGTCAATAAACGATAAATTTGCAAATGTAATTTCTTTAACATAACAAACCATTGATGTGAGAAGGGGTGAGCATATTTCAGTTTAAACCAAAACAATTGACTGAATCAATCGAATTAGGCTAACTCAGTTCAATTTTTTCGTTTTGGTATTAATCAGTTAGGACAAGAAATGTATTTCGTTATTTTAGTTGATTTTTTATATCCAAAATTTACAACCGAACAGACTGAAAAATCGATCATTGAGAATATTATTTTTAAATATATTTTTAATATAAAAATATTGTTCATATTTTAAAATTATAAATAGATATCATATATAAATATAAAATAACACAAATATTATTAATATTTTTATAATATACATATTAGAACTGACCGAGATAAGCTGGTTTTGGCTATTTTCGGTTTTTTATTATAGTTCGGTCGATTTTGATTATTTTCTAGGGAAGTTCAATTAATTTAATTTTTAAAATTTTAAGACTGAACCGACCGAATGCTCATCCCCAGATGAGAGAATTGATTCAATAAGGCATCAAGCTACTTTATATTACATCATTATCTATAGACTATACTTAAATTGCATATAGGTCCCTAAAGAAAATTCCTAGTTCTGCCCTGCCAATATCCATGCAAGTGAAAGTGCAAAGTTAAGACCTGATGTATCAGATATAGCAAACTAAAAATCTGATTCACCTGACGGATCAGATTTTCTGCTCGCATTTTGTGAGTCCAAATGATCTCTGGAGTATCAGAGTCAGAAACCATTGCTGCAGCAAATGCAAGTGGTCCACTACGCTCCAATACATACAGCAAAGATTCAGGGAGAAGTCCACCCAAGACGCTACGTTTAGCAAGGGGTAATGAAGAGGAAACTGCAGCTTCTTCACCACCATGAAAAGCTTGATGTACATGAGTTACCGAGAAGAGTTGAGCAATCGAAAGGAGGTTGGATCCAGGGTATGCCAGGGCAAAATAAAATGCACCTGTGCTGTATAGACGGATCATGGCCTTGGGATTTCTGGTAACAACAGCCTTCAGCAAAGCAGCAGCAGCCTCTACAATACTTGGCTCACCAGAAAGCATAGCCTTTCAAGGAAAAAGAAACAGATGCAACTGCATAAGTAAAACACTTCACAGATGGATTATTCCATTTATCAACAGAAGCATATCTTACAAATCTTTCCTGCAAAAGTAAAAAGTGATTCTGCAACTTCCTATTTGAAAAATCTGAAGGCGTGACTAAATTATCAATTAAAAAAAAAATACCTGTGCAATATGAGGAAGGCAACGTGGACTTGACAAAATCCGTTTTACCCTTGGAGTTGGAGTAACTATCTCACCAGCATCATCTAAGTCCGAATGTGCAGAAACCATGCTATGTAAGACAGACAATGCAGCCTCTCCTACCTGCAAACAGAATTATCAATTAGAAGGCATCAAGAAAAAGGCACATTATTAGGAGATGCCTGTTATTATATTTAATAGTCAAGAAACACCAGTGCACTAGCCAATTTGTG